AGTGAAAATGCTGCCTTAAAACTCAACATCAAAAAAACTAAGATTATGGCATTTGGTCCCATCATTTCATGGCAAATAGTTGGGAGAAAAGTGGAAATATTAACAGATTTTCTTTTCTTGGGATCCAAAATTACTGTGGATGGTGACTGCAGCCATAAAATCAAAAGATACTTGCTTCTTGGAAGGAAAGCTATGACAAATCTATACAGTGTATAAAAAAGCCAAGACATCACTTTTTTGACAAATATAGTCAAACTATAGTTTTTCCAGTAGCCATGTATGGATGTGAGAGCTGGACCACCCTCATCATGTATGGATGAGAGAAGGTTGAGCACTGAAGAACTGATGTTTTCGAACAGTGGTGATGGAGAAGACTCTTGAGAGTCTCCAGGACTACAAGGAGATCAAACCAGTCATTTCTAAAGGAAATCAACCCTGAATACTCATTGGAAAAAATGATGCTGAAGCTGAAGCTCCAATACTTTGGTCACCTGGTGGGAAAACCCAACTAATTGGAAAAGACCCTACTTCTGGGAAAGACTGAGGGAAGGAGGAGAAGGGGGTGACAGAGGATAAGATGGTTGGATGGCATCACTGACTCAATGGACATGAGTTTGAGCACAGACTGAGGGACAGGGAAGACTGGTGAGCTGCAGTCCATGGGGTCGCAAAGAGTCGGACATGACTTAAGTGACTGAACAACAAACTTTGTTGTACCTTTTAGATTCCACATGTAAGTGATATCACATAGTGTCTGCCTTTCTCTGTCTGACATTTCACTTAGCACAGTGCCCTCCAAGTCTTGGCTCTACTAGTTGAGATTATAGTGGTCAACCTTCACGTTGGCTTCCCATTTGTGGCAAATAGAATGAGGAATTCTAAGGATTAAGCCTACATCTGGTTTGCAATTTCATCTGTGCTGACCTGTTAGATCTATACATTGTTGTTGCTGTTCAGTTGCCCAGTTGTGTCTGACTCTTTGCAACTCCATGGACTGCAGCCTGCCAGGCTCCTCTGTCCAAGCAATTCTCTGGGCAAGAATACTGGAGTGGGTAGACATTCCCTTCTCCAGTGGATCTTCCCAACCCAGGGATTGAACTTTGTTCTCCTGCATTGCTTCAAGATTCTTTACCATTCGAGACATCAGGGAAGCCCAGAGATCTATACATACGTAGGCATAATTCACTTCCCATAAAGAGACCAAAGAAATGAAATATCCTGGCCAGTGGGTAGAGGAGTAGCTTTCAAATCTAGGTCTATTTGTGTGTTCAAACCACACAGATTTTGTTTTAGTCGCTACTTGCCTCCCTGGGTGGGAATACACAATATTCACTGTCTTCATTCTCACTTAGAACTTGCCCTGAGACTAAGTGCAATGGATTTCCACATGTTCCCACCTTTGAAGAAGGGATGCTGTCTAAGAATTGAGCACATCTCTCAAGCAGTGGTGCTGGAACCCCCAGATCCCAAGGACACTCTTTTCCTGACCATATTCGGAGGGAGCCCATTGCTTGGTGTTTGTCTAATTGATCCCAGGGCCTGACAGTGGGGAGCCAGCACAAGGCATCTGCTGACTGTATGCCATTCTATTTTTTGAGTTAGGATTCACAGGAAAGTGAAACCACATTTGTTTTTTACAGCCAAGTAGGCGGTGAGGCTCGGCATTTGAACAATGGGTTGGCTCCTTGACCACCAGGCCAGGCACAGTCATATTTGGTAAGATGTGGGGCAGGAAATAATTATTTATTGGTCCATTTATTTTCAGGGCTATGGGTAACAGGCCATGAATCCAAATATGGTCTGAAGAAAGCTTTGGTCCCATTATATACTGTCTTCTCCTGGCCCTGGCTCTTTGAGCTTTGACAGTTGGCCTTTAAACAATTCAAACTGTGTCTTCCAATGCAATGAATGTCATTAAACACATAGACACACATGTCCGCTTGCACACACACAGCTTTTTAAAGAGAGGGCCATAAAATTAGGAGATTGGGATTAATATATACACACCATGGTGCACTGTGCTAAGTCAGCCCATATACACACTGCTTTATATAAAACAGATAATTAGTAAGGACCTACTGTGTAGCCCAAGGAACTCTACACAATATTCTGTAATAATGGATGTAGTAGAATAATCTGGAAAAGAATGGACATGCTCAGGTGCTCACTCATGACCAACTCTTTGTGACCCCATGGACTGTAACCTGCCAACTTCCTCTTTCCACGGGATTTCCCAGGCAAGAATGAAGGAGTGGGTTGCCATTTCCTTCTCCAGAGGATCTTCCTGACCGAGGGATGGAACCTGCATCTCCTGCATTGCAGGCAGATTCCTTATGGCTGAGCCACCAGGGAAGCCCTTCTTCTCTAGTACATGTATTTTGCTGTTCAGTCACTAAGTCACGCCTGACTCTTTGTGACCCCATGACCTGCAGCACACCAGTCTTCCTTTTCCTTAACTATCTTTCAGAATTTGCTCCAATTCAAGCCCATTGAGTCAATGATACTATTCAACCTTCTCATCCTCTGTCGCCTACTCTCCTCTTGCCCTTAATCTTTCCCAGTATCGGGGTCCTTTCCAATGGGTCAGCTCTTTGCATAAGGTGGCCAGAGTATCGGAGTTTCAACTTCAACATCAGTCCTTCCAATGAATATTCAAGGTTGGTTTCCTTTGAAATGATCTCTTTGCTGTCCAAGGGACTCTCAAGAGTCTTCTCCAGCACCACATTTTGAGAGCATCAGTCTCTGATGCTCAGACTTCTTTATGGTCCAATTCTCACTTCTGTACATGACTACTGGAAAAACGTGAGTGTATAAGTGATTCACTTTACTATACACCTGAAACTAAGACAATTTTGTAAGTCAACTAAACTCTAATAAAAATCTTAAAAAAAAAAAAAGACAAATCTCTAAGGAATTTTCATGTGGTTTGAGCACTGAACAGATGATTGACTGTCAGAATTTTGGGAGGAAGGAGGACTTTGGAATCAGAGCTGATTTGGAATACTGGGTTCATCAATTACTAGTTCTAGAACACTGTTTAAGATATGACTTCTCCTAATCTTAGTGACCTCATCTGTAAAATGGGCATAAGAGTTCCTACTCAAAAAAGCACTCCAAGGTAAAATGAGATGATGCTCTTTGAAGCACCTTGATACATGGAAGGTGTCTATGCTGGCTGGAAAGTGTCTCCCAAAGTCATGTCCTTCCTAGGACCTCAGAACATGCCCTTAGTTGGCAATATGGTTGGTGCAAATGGGATTTTAATAAGTGTGGGATCACACTCGAGTTGCATGGGCCTTTGATCCAGTATGACTTCTGTCCTTATAAGAAGAGAAGACACAGATTCAGAGATGAAGGGTGTGTGATGATGGAGGCGGAGACTGGATGGAGTGATACAGCTGCAAGTGAAGGAACGCCAAGGACTGATGGCCATCACAACAAGCTAGGAGGAGACAAGGCAGGATCTCCTCAGAGCCCCAGAGGGTCAACATGGCCCTGTTGACACCTTGGTTACAGACTTCCAGCCTCCAAAACTGTGAGAGAATAAATCTCTGTGTTTTAAACCACCCAGCTTGTGGTGACTGTTACAGCAGCTCTGGGAGTCTAATACCTCCCCCAATAAATATTTGTATAAAGAGCCCACTTCAGAATCTGGCGCAGAAAGCCTGCATTTATCATCTGCCTACACTTGGTGCCCGGAGAGACACCAAGCCTTGGAGGAGGTAAAAATGATGAGTCAGGCTCCCTGACCTCCAAGGACCCAGTTCATCAAAAGCTAATTATCCCCTCTCCTCTACTATATTCTGTTCTCCGTTTAGTTCTCTGCAAACAGCTCAGCATAAACCAAACCAACCAAACAAACAGAAAACCAATCTATTTCACATGCATTCTCACACGATGAAAATTCAGGGCATTGGTTTATTTTACAAGGAGACTGCCTACACACATTCCACCTACATCTAGGCTTACATACTTAGTTCTGTGTGTCCCATTCATATCCCGTTTGAAGTTCACGGAGATGTTCTGAGATGCCACACGCTTCCCAGGTGGTCTGCTGCCTTCAAACCTCATAGTGGGCAAGTGTAATTTATGCAGGCATATATCATGCCTTAGAAAGGCCAATGCCATTTCTCTAGGCCCCCGTGAACACTTAGGGCTGACAGTGCCTAAATAAACTGGTTTATTTACTGCAGCAGTTACCTGTTAAAGACTAGCCGTTACGTTAAGTAACACCGAGTGCCCAGACTAATAAATTTACAGCGTGCCTGTTTGTTTTACTGGAGAATTTATTGCAGCAGTAATAATTGTCAGAGGGTGAGCCTGGTGAAAGAGCTGGTGCTTTTACGCGGGAGGATCTATCACACGGGAGGGTCCATCAGCAGATTGACTTTCTGGCAGTCACACGGAGGTGGCTCTGTGTCACCAAATCAAGCACTTGAATCTTGACTTTGGGTGGACTGAAGGGGAACACGGAATCCAGCTTCTTGGGGCAAGACCGTCTCTTCTTGTTGACTCAGATAAATGTGAGTGACAGGCTGTGGGCGTGAATTTCAGAAGCCCCTTGGAGACTAACTTCCATGGGTTTGAGGGGAGCTTTGGGCCAGCCAGGAGAGGTGGGTGCTCAGCTTTTGAACCCTGGCTAAGTGGAGGGTGGCTAGTGGGAAAAAACACACGGAATATGTGAAATCTTCTACTCCCTATTCTTAACTGAGTTTGGCTCTCTGTTTTTTGACCAGGTAGGGGCCAGGAGGTGTGAGGCAGCACTGTGTAATAGTTTGAAGCAGAGACTTTGGGTTATATGTATACATGCTCAGTTGGTCAATTGTGTCCAACTCTTTGCGAACCCATGAACTGTAGCCCACCAAGCTCCTCTATCCATGGGATTCTCCAGGAAAGAGTACTGGAGTGGGTTGTTATTTCCTCCTCCAGAGTATCTTCCCAACCCAGGGCCCAAACCCACGTCTTCTGCATTGGCAGGTGAAATTTTTACTACTCTACCACCTGGGAAGCCCTTGAATCAGATAGGTAAGTTCTAATCCTGAAATGGTCATTTAAAAGTTGTGTGACAATAGACAAAATGTATGAGATTTCTAGGTCATGCATTCCTCCTCTGAAAAACTGGGATTAAAGTAATCATCCATCGTGTGAAGTTTTTGATCAGAAGAGATGCTCTTCCAAGGCCCAGGACCTAAGACACACTTAATAAGTGTCAACTTTCAATGCTATTTTGATTGATTTCTTATAGACTTTTGGCACCAGACAAGAGGAAAGCAAGGGAAAGAATATCTACTCTGGCTCTTTCCTCTCTGTTTTTTTGTGCAGAAGAGGAAGCTTTTCACACAAAAGGATCAATGACTTGCCCAAGGTCGTTCCACAAATGTGCAGCCATCTTGGTAAGAAACCAGGAGGTCCCCCAAGTCCTAACCTTAACTTTGAATTATTAATTCATCCTACAAACAATTCCTGAGCACCTTCTGTGGCCTGAGCAGAGCTGGAAGAAGAGATGGAAGACCTTCTGTTGCCCTGACGGCGGAGCCTCAGGCACCTCTGGATCCCAGGTGTTAATCACAGAACCTGGTACAAAGTGTAGGAGCAGAAGTTGTTCATTGTTCAGTTGTGTCTGACTCTTTGCAACCCCATGGACTGCAGCACACCAGGCTTACCTGTCCTTCACCATCTCCTGGACTTTGCTCAAACTCATGTTGGTGATGCCATCCAACCATCTCACTCTCCGTCATCCCCTTCTCCTCCTGCCTTCAGTCTTTCCCAGTATCAGGGTCTTTTCTAATGAGTCAACTCTTCACATCAGGAGGCCAAAGTCTTGGAGCTTCAGCTTCAGCATCAGTCCCTCCACTGAATGTTCAGGTTTGATTTCCTTTAGGACTGAGGGGCAGGAAAGGTTTCTGAAATGAAGAAATGATAATTCCTGCCTCACAGGGTGAGCAGTGTGATGATAAATACAAGCAAAACATTTTGAGGGAATTTGGAGTAGAGTCCATGGGTCCTCAGGATGGAAAGGCTTTCTAGAGCAGGAATATCCTCTTTTTGTCTTGATGGTGATGAGGAGCTAGCCACTCAGACAACGGGGTAGGGCAATACAAACTGAAAACGGCATATGCAGATGGTCTTTGAATTTAGACAAAAATCTACCAGTGCCACCTAAGTATCAGCTGGGTCTGGTTAGCTGGGCAGATGAGCTGTGTGTTGGGAGCAGGGATGTCTTGAAGAATTCCCACTGGCTGTGGCTTCTGCACACTCTCTGTTAGGATCCCATGAGGCACTGTTTGTCAGGCAGGGGAGGGATTATCCTCCCTATCTTGTAGGAAATTGAGGCTTGGATGCTGAAGCAATTGGTATAATGGTAGCATTCATTCACTCATTTGTTTACTCCACAGAGAGCCAAGTGCCTAATATGTAGAAGCCAACACACACTAAAAGTGAGAAACATTTCTCCACCAAACTAAGAATCTCACAATAGCAATGTGCTAAATTGCTTCAGTCGTGGCTGACTCTTTGTGACCCTATGGACTGTAGCCCGCCAGCTCCTCTGTCCATGGGATTCTCCAGGCAAGAACATTGGAATGGGTTGCCATACTTTCCTCCAGGAGATTTTCCCAACCCAGGGATTGAACCCACATCCATTATGTCTCCTACATTGGCAAGTGGGTTCTTTACCACTAGTGCTACCTAGGAAGTGTCCAATAGCTGTGTGTATGAGTATGTGTGTGCGTGTGTGCATGTGAGCACGCTATTTGCTTCAGTTGTGTCCAACTCTTTGTGACCCTAACAGAGCTTAATTCAAGTGAAAGGCCCTTCTGAACTTGGGTCCATGTATGTCTGCACATGTATAGGCCCATGAGGTCAGTCCTGGTGCCACAGATATTAATTGGGTGATTATTATATGCCAGGGGTAGTTCTAGGCACTGGGGGCATGGTAGAGAACAACCAGAGGTGGTCCTTTGTCTCCTAGAGTCTAGACGGGGAGAGACACAATAGACAAGAAAGAGGTGAGTGAATGAGTCCATTTCAGAAAATGGCAAGAGTCAAGGAGACAAAGAATTTCAGGGGTGGAGTGGAAAGGTCATCACAAAGGCCTTGCTGGGGTGGTGAGCTGATGCCTGGAGGAGAGATTCTGTAAAGATTTGGGGGAGAAGCATTTTGGGCAAAGAAAAAGTGAAGATCTCAGTGGCAAAGAACCTGCCTGCAATGCAGGATATGCTAGTTCAATCTCTGGTCCAGGAAGATCCCCTGGAGAAGGAAATGTAACCCACTCAGGTACTCTTGCATGGAAAATCCCATGGACAGAGGAACTTGGTAGGCTACAGTCCATGGGGCCTCAAAGAGTTGGACAGGAGTGAAGAGACCCAACAACAACAATGAAGTAGGAAGAAGCCGGAGCATTTGGAAGTAGACATATGCTGGTGTGGCTGTAGGGGTGGTGAGGTGGCCGTGGCCACAGGCCACAGTTTCTGTGGGACCCGTGAAGATGCTAGGTTTTACTCTGAATACAGCGGGAGGCGCTGGGCAGAATCCAGGAGGCGTGGCCTGACAGAAGCAGAGAGGCCCCTGTCCCAAGATGGCGCCTCACCAACCTCTCTGCTCAGCGGCCTGAGCCCCAGCGGCTGAGGTGACTCTAGTTGTCAGCCAGGCTCACTGGATAGAGACGCGGAGGATTGTTTCTGACCTACAGACTCTAGGAGAGCAGTAGACAACCGCGTATGTAGCTCTCCCGAAACCCGGGCCCAGGAAACCATGAGGAAATGGGCATGGCTGACTGTGTGCCCGGAGGCCTTACTCTTGTCCCTCCGGCTCTTCTCTGATGCTAAGCTTGTTATGAGAGTAAATAATTGTTAGACTTCCCTGGCAGTCCAGTGGTTAAGACTCCAAATTCCACAGAGAAGGAGAAATGCCCTATGACATCCCTTACTTGTGGAATCTAAAAGGAAATGATACAAGTGAACTTATTACAAAAAAGAAAGAAACGACTGGACTTAGAGACCAAACTTTATGTTTGCTGGGGTGGGGGATGGGGGGAAGGTAGCTAGGGATTTGGGGATGGCTATGTACGCACCGCCGTGTTTAAAATGGATAAACAGTAAGGACCTACTGTGTAGCACCTGGAACCCTACTCAGTGCTATGCGGCAGTCTGGATGAGAGGAGGGTTTAGGGGAGAATGGATACATGTGTATGTGTGGCTGGGTCCCTTCACTGTCCACTTGAGGCTATCACAATATGGTTACTTGGTTATACACCAAAATAAAAAGTTTAAAGAAAAAAGACTCTGCACTTCCAATGTGGGGAGTGGAGCTTTGATCCCTGGTCAGGGAACTAAGCTCCCATTTGCCTCAGGGTCAAAAAATGCAAATGAAAACAACAGAAGCAATATTGTAACACACTCAATACAGACTTTAAAAATTATTTACATCAAAAGGGAAATAATTGTTTTTTTATTAAAAATTCTGATAATTATGAAAAAAATGCAAGCAATTAAAAGAAATGAAAAAGTAAAAAAAAAAATCTAATTTTAAATCACTCAGGAATAACAATTGTCAAAATTTGGTAATCATTATTTGGGCACTTTTATGCATATAATATTAATGGGAAACATTACAGTACAGCTAGAAATAATATTTATGGAAAAAAGTAATTATGAATTTACTTTTCATTTTGTTTATAAAGAATAACTCAATCTTTAGATAAATATTGCTTCATTAAAAATGAGAGAAAAGTTTTGGAAAAACTTGAGATTTTTTTTAGAAAAATATCTGGTGGTTAAAGAGCAGCTATTGATTTTTACTATGAAAGAGGAAAAAGTTAGCATGTCAGTATTTCCTTTCCTCTCCTCTCTCTCTAGCCCTTGATTTAAGTTAGTTACATTGTTATTTTTTCCTGAGGTATAATGTATTACTTGCTCTGTAAAACTTGGTCTTCAATTAAGAAAACTTTCTTTCAAGCTATCATTGAATAGTTTTTTGAGTACTTTTTTCGGAAGCATGAATTATAAGTACACTGACTCTCATTTAGCTTTTCAAATATATAACCTTTCTATAATGCTTTTTGTTGCTTTCCTTTTCCATTGTGTTTTGTGTTATTTCTTCAAGTTTACACTCCAATTTTTTTAGGATTTTTTTTTTTATGTGGACCATTTTTAAAGTCTTCACTGAGTTTGTTACAGTATTGCTTCTTCTTCTTTTTAATTTTTTTGGTTGTGAGGCCTGTGGGATCTTAGCTCTCTGACCAGGGATCAAAGCCACGCCCTCTGCTCTGGAAGGTGAAGTCTTAACACCTGGACTGCCAGGGAAATCCCTGTTCTCCAACTTTTACAAAAAATCAGTTGAGCTTATCTGTTTTTCTTGCTTCTAAAATGATTTCCATCTCTAACACTGTTTTAAAAATTATTTTCTGGATTATCAGTTCTTTCAGTATCTGATAATCTTTTCTTTGAACCATTGTATGCCTTCCTTTAATTCATTTATAGAAAGGAAAAATTACCTCAAAACTATGCAGAATTGTTTTTCTAAGCTCCTTTTCCATCAACTTGAATAACTCCCCCTGCAATATACATACATATTTTTTGTTAATATTTCTTTTGGTATTACTAACTTTTTTTTTTTTTTTTTGGTATTACTTTGGTCACCTGGTGCAAAGAGCCAACTCATTGGAAAAGATCTTGATTCTGGGAAAGACTGAAGGCAGGAGGAGAAGGGGAAGACAGAGGATGAGATGGTTGGATGGCATCACTAACTCGATGGACATGAGTTTGAGCAATCTCTGGAAGATGGTGAAGGACAGGGAAGCCTGGCATGCTGAAGTTCCTGGGGTCACAAAGAGTCAGACACAACTGAGTAACTGAACGACAACAAAAACAAACATCTCTTCATAGCTAAACTTTTTTCAGGTTACTTACAGACAAATGACATGAAGGATGAGGGTAAACTGAGCTAAATGAATTGAAGTCACAACTCTGGGACAATCAAATCTTTCATCCTATTCACAAGGCATACTATTTCTCTCATCCGTGGGGGAGGTCTTGCCTGAATTTTCAACATTCGGGATTTTGCTATGACTACCAACATGGCCACAAATTCTCTGTGCTACAATCATGAATTTGCTGTCACCTTTCATTCCTGGAGATCCACTTGCTCTCTACCCGTATTCATAAGCTAAGAGGTAAGGACATGATCATTATTGGAGCTTACTCTTCTTTATACAATCAAGTGTTCTTGGACAGCATCTCTAAAAAGGCATTGCTTACCTCTCCTATGTTTAACATACAACCCTAGATCTTTAATCAACTATCCATTGGCTACATTGTGTAAAAATCTGGCATCTTAGGGGTAGTACATTCTGTTTGAGATCAAAGCCGGAATGTACTATTGCTCAATATCCTCCACCACATAGGTTTAGACCAGGTGGTGTTTGGCAGGTATGTTCCATAGTTTATGGTTTAAAGTGGTGGTAATACCCTTGCATCATTTGAAGATATGATAGTCTCATTCATTTTTTAAAAATTACTATTTTTGGTAGTGTTTAAGAGTTGAGAGTAGAGAAAAAAAACATCATTTTCTCCACCATCTTCAAGAGAACTATTGCCGTGACTCTCAGATTAAAAGAGATGAGAATCCAAGGCCTATACATCTCCATGAACATAAGACAATCTAGTTTAAGAATTTGGGCTAAAAAGCCAAGGGGTTGCAGGTAAATATTTACATTGTGGCCACGTTTGCTAAATGGAACTTGAGCATGACAATAACATTGACTACAGCAGGTTGAATACTCACTCGGGTCCAGGCTCTCGGCCAGGTTCTTTGTTGATTTCAGTTCTAATCCAAACAACAATCCCTGTGAGGTGAGGCTTGTTTACCCCATCCTACCAGAGAGGAAAGAGAAAACCAAGAATATAAAAGATCAACTGACTGAACGATACACCACTGATCTTACATTCAAGATAAAAAAAAAAAAAAGATCAAGCAAACCAGCTTCAACCCCCACTCTTGTTTTTTTTCTCTATGTTAAATGTTAGATCTTAAAATAAAATTTTAAGATCATAGGAACTGCAGAGAACCTAATAATTTTTTTTTTCCTCTGCTCTCTTTTCATTGTGTTTAATTTTCAGCGGCTATGTTAATAACCTCTTGTGGCTGCTTTGACATCAGGCCCCTTCTCCTGGCTACTCTTGCCCTGACTTACTTATTGTCAGCATCTGTTCATTAACTAGTTTCTAATGAGAATTATTAGGAGGTTCTTGGAGACGAAGGGTCTCTTAGTGGTACTTTTACAGTTGCTGTTAACTGACTCAAGAATTCAGTCTACCCCCAACTGATATGTTTTACACCAGCCTGAAGAGAACCAACTTAAAAAGTCTGTATACTTGAAATCTGACCGTGACATCCTTTGACTCATTCCGGCAATGCAAATAAAATAATGAGAGAAAATATATTGAAAATACATGCTGTCTTAATCTTCCAGTTCTCTTGCTGTTTGTTTAGTTGCTAGGTCATGTCTGACTCTTTGCGACCCCGTGGACTGTAGCGCTCGAGGCTCCTCTGTCCATGGAATTCTCCAGGCAAGAATATTGGGGTGAGTTGCCATTTCCTCCTCCAGGGACTCTTCCCGACTGAGGGACTGAACCCATGTCTCCTACACTGGCAGGCAGATTCTTTACCACCGAGCCGCCTGGGAAGCCCTCGGATTCTCTCACTTCCCCATTATACAATGTGCTGTGCTGTGCTTGCGAAGTTGCTTCTGTGGTGTCCCACTCTGCAAGATTCTATGGAATCCTCCAGACCCGTGGATCGAACCTGTGTCTCTGAAGTCTCCTGCATTGGCAGGCAGGCTCTTTACCACTAGCGCCACTGGGGAAGCCCCCATTATACATTTCCCAACCTCTCTCCTCCTCTTGCTTGACTGAGGGGATAAATCATCCTCTGGCTCAGTTCAGTTCAGTTCAGTCGCTCAGTTGTGTCTGACCCTTTGCGACCCCGTGGACCACGGCATGCCAGGCTTCCCTGTCCATCAGCAATTTCCGGAGCCTACTCAAACTCATGTCCATCGAGTCGGTGATGCCCTCCAACCATCTCATCTTCTGTCGTCCCCTTCTCCTCCTGCCTTCAATCTTTCCCAGCATCAGGGTCTTTTCAGATAAGTCAGTTTTTCGCATAAGGTGGCCAAAGTATTGGGAGTTTCAGCTTTAGCAACAGCCCTTCTGATGAAAATAAGGATTGATTTCCTTTAGGAATCACCTGGTTAGGAGAAGCAAATGAACTGCCTCCACCTCTGTGTTAATCTCTATCCTTCAGTGGGATCCTTCTCTGTTCGAGGTGGTCTATGCCAAAGGTCCGCAACCTGTGGCCCCGGACAGGTACCTCCTGTCAGATCAGCAGCAACATTCGATTAGAAGTAAAATGCACAATAAATCTACCACTCTTGAATCATCCCGAAACCAACCCCCATCTCCTCATCTGTGAAAAAAATTGTTTTCCATGAAATCAGTTCCTTGTGCCAAAATGGTTGAGGACAGTAGTTGTCATACTCCCAGTCATGGTGGTGAATGTTGCTGTTACCATTCTTTAATTTTTTGTATTTGCTTAAAAATAAAAGTGTTCTAAATTATTATTTTTTTTAATAAGAGAAGAAATGACCTGCATTATCACCAGAACCATCCCCACCAGTGACTAGCAGCCTTGATTATGAAAACCAGTCAGACCATAGTTAGAAAATCTTCTGCTTAAATTCAATGCAGTGATTGCATCAGGCCATTTTCAGAAACTTGGTTCCCTTCCTCACCCACCGGAAATACTTGTGCCCCATCCCGAAGCTGTGCTTTCAACTTGGCCTCCCCTGGTACGCTGGATACCTCTATCACTGCATCTGCCACATGTTGACATGATCCATCTGGGGTTCTGTTTTCCTAAGGTATTCCTTGAGTTTCGTCTTCTCTAAAAAGCTTCTCTTCGCTTGCTCAGAATCCAGCTCAGAGACTGGCAAAAACGTAACTGCCTAGAGCATGCTTCCCATAGGGCAGCATGAAAAGCTAATTTTTATAGAACATTGTTTGAAAAATGGCTTTGTCATGAAAGGGTGATGGAAGAGGGAACTTGTTATCTGATGTCAAGATGCTACTTTGTCACATCTGAAGTCTGACTCGACTTTTCAACGATCAAGAAGCCAAGGAGCCTCTCCAACTGTTAAAAACTTGAGGCAACACAGCATATTCAGGACAGGACTGAAGTGAGGCAATGACAAGTCTATTATAAAATTCACAGGTCCTTGTATATTTATACCCCTGTCTTGACACATACTCCTAGCACACATTCTATCTTTCCATATTTTCAACTTCTCTACTGATTTTATGGAAGCATTAAACAAAAATAGGATAATAAAATTCATACCATATAAAATCATGCCATGTAACATTTATGGATGCCACTTATGCCTTTGTTTTAAAGAATGTAAAAGGCACTGTAATGAGAATTACATAAAATTTCAAATTTTCAGCGAAAAAGGTTTTCCAGCTTCATATCCTCTAACTGTTATTTTTGGCCACGTATAGTCTTCACAGAGACTCAGTGTATTCTGTTGCCAGTAAAAATTTTAGCCAGAGAAACAATAAGATCTCATTGGTGTTTTGGGAGTTTTTCCAGACAGCTGTGTGAAAGACTGGTTGAAAGGTGATAGAAAATGGAAGGTTCCTTGTAATGAGGGTAGAAGCCAGACTCCTTTCTCTCAAAAATCCTCTTCTAGCCCAAGAAACCATCATTCTGAGACTCTCACAGCCTACCTGGGCATTTTATTTTGTGGTTTCAATGCTATTGTGCACTAGGGTTAGAAGGGAGAAGGCAATTATACAGTTTCACGGGCAGGAGAGTCATCTAAAAAGAAAATGATCTGACCTTCTCCTTGTACACTTGAGGAAACCAAGGACCCAGGGAAAGAAATGACCTGTCCACAGTCCCTGCGCCAGTATGAATATGGAGACCCGCATCTGCTCCTCACAGCTGAACTCCTAGCCCCAACCAGGAGACCTGTCCTGCCTTGGTCTGAGCTGGAGACATTTAAAGACCCTGACATTCTGGGACTCAGTATTGCCTCCCTGGGCCACATGAACTTTGCTCTAGTTTGGGTAACTGTGTTTCTGTTCTTTTCTAGTACCTACATCCATTTTTAGTTCTTCTAGAGCTGAATGTTCCCCATGTCAAGGAAACCTTTATTATAGAGCTGACCAGTTCCCAGTTCCTCTTTGCCTGAGCTCTATCCAAGTCTATTGGTTAGGATTTTTCCATCGTCAGGAAATGAAACCCCAAACTGCACCTGGCTTAAACCAAATAAAAGGAGATTTACTGCATCTCATAACTGGCAAGTCCAATAGCTCTCCCTGTTTCAGGCATGGCTGCAGGCAGGAGCAGCTTGACGACACTCAGGTTGGTCTCTCTCCTCCATGTTGACTTTATTTTTAGGTCATCTCTCTCCATAAGGTGCCCCCCCCCCCCAATCTCATGAGCTCACCATCCTCAGAAGAAAGAAAGCATCCTTTCCCTGCCAATTCCAGGGCTTTCTCTGCTGAGAAAGTGAGGATTATGTTCATCCCTTGTACTAGGAATGCAATAAGTCAACCTCACTTGACCATGTGGATTGACAGTAGGAGAAGGCATTTTCCCAACAGGAAAACAGAATGTTTGTTATCAAAAGAAAACACAGAAAAAGATAATCTAGTTTGGGTGGGTAAAATGAACGTGTGTTGCAGAAAACCATCCTGCTTCTGGTGCATCCTGGTTTGACCACCTGCTCCTGACTTCCCTTGGCCTGGCAGCCTCCCCGAAGTCTACTCACGGACCTCTTCAAAGATGACTGCTCTCATCCACTTTCAGAGCTGGGTTGTTCCCGTTTGTTGCCTTCAGATTAGAGTTTAGCACCCTCCCTCTAACAGAGACGGCTCCCTTACGCCATCACCTGCTGTAGCTGTACCTTTATGACTTTTCATCCAGAACAGTGGACAGGACAAGACAGGACAGGACACCACGGTCCCAGGACTCAGTCTGGTCTCTGGTCCATTCCTTCCCTGTAGAACCCATCCTGGGTCAATAAATGGGGATACGTCTAGCTGGATCCCAGAGCCAGATCCCACCCAATGCCCTGCAGCAAGTCAATGGCACACGGGATGTAAAAACCTGTGGCCTTCTCACTCTTCCAAGGTCATGACCACATTAGGAAATCAAGCAAAGAAATTTACACAAAGAAGCCCTGAGTGTGAATGTCAGCCAGCTTACAGTCAGAGCAGAAGAATCAAAAAAGCAGAGTCTAAGTTGCCACGGGGTGGTTTTGTTGCCAAAGGGCACCCAAGTACTGCCATCCTGGGAGCAAGTTCTCTGACATGCGGGGGAGGCACTGACTTTATTAACTCACGTGGGAGCGAGGGGTGGGAGGGAGATGTCCCCGGGAACTTTTGGCAGCCTTGCGGGAATAGGATGTTGACGGTGTGTTTCACATTGAACTTGGCATAAATGGGAGTGATGGGGGTGTTCAGAAGTGATCAGATGGTACTTGCAGTTTGTCTGTGAGAGCCTAATTACTGACCTGACACCCGTTGCTTCAAATAGGCCCGGGAAGCAGCTAACTGGTATAGAGAAGCATCTGGTAACGCAATTATCCTGTCAGCTCTTTATCCACTTGTAGCCCTGTCATTAGACACGTTTTCCCCCTTGATATTCTTAAAACGCAGAGTTACCAACCAGAGCAATTTAAAATGATATGTAGTTATTTTTGACTCCTTTCCTGTCGAGGGAGAACTTCATAAATGATGTCACAATAAACGCAATGTGCGAGAAAAACCTCAGAAATGAAATTTGTAAGGGCAGAGACTGCGGGAGGAAG